TGGACGGACGGACGGATGGATAGGTGGGTGGGTGGATGGCTTGGTTGGTGGGTGAGTTGGTTGATGAGTTGGTAGATGGGTGTGGGCGTCTGTAGATGGATGAGAGATGGGCACATACAGGTGGATGGAAGCAGGATGAAGGGGTGAGGGACAGGTGGGCATTGGGACTAAGGGGTGCCTGGGGGACAAGTGGGCATGGAGGTGGACAGATGGATGGATGGATGGATGGATGGATGGATGGATGGATGGATGCCCAGCTTGCCCAGAGAAGCTGTGGCTGCCCCATCCCTGGAGGGGTTCAAGGCCAGGTTGGAGGGGGCTTTGAGCAATCTGGTCTGGTGGGAGGTGTCCCTGCCTGGGGCAGGAGATGGGACTGGATGACCTTTAAAGGTCCCTTCCCACCCAAGCCCTTCTATGATTCTATGGATGGACGGATGGATGGGAGGATGGTTGGGTGGTTGGGTGGGTGACACATGGGCACGTGGTGGGGACGTGCATCTTGACGGTTCCCCCAGTGCCCACTTAGGACCAACTCTCTTTCTCTTGCAGTGCTCATCATCCCGCTGGTGGACAAGGACAGCGGGGCCGTGGTTTGCGTCATCCTGGTGAGCACGGGGACACGGGCCGAGCTCTGGGGGGACAGGGACAAGCTTTGGACATTGAGGTCCTCACCCCACAACATCTCCCTTCCCACCAGGTCCACTGCAGCCAGCTGAGCGACTCGGACGAGCAGAACCTACGTGCGTTGGAGAGACACGTGAGTGACCTCAACTCCACCACGGCACCTGGGGACATTCCACCCTTGTCCCCCAACCCTTCTTTGTCCCCTTTGTCCCTTCCAGACCCTGGTGGCCTACCGGCGCCTGCAAGCCCTCCAGAAGCTTCAACCCTGGCCCCAGGTCAGCCTCTCCACCAGCTCCTCCCAAAACTCCTTGGCCAAACCCGAGAAGGCGCCCGACAGCGGCTACAGCGACCTGGACTGCAAGATCTTGCAGCTCTGTGGTGAGGATGGAGGGGACAACGATGACACAGTCTCCAGAGTGAACAGCCTTGCCCTTGCCATCAGTAGTCTCCAGAGTGAACGGTGCCACCATAGCCACAAAAATGCTTAGAGAGGACCTGTGTGTCCCCCTCCTGCTCCCCAGTGTCCTGGTCACAGCCCTTAGTAGTCTCCAGAGTGAACAGCCTTGTCCTAACCATTAGTAGGCTCCAGAGTGAACAGCCTTGCCATAAGCCTCAGTAGTCTCCAGAGTGAACAGTGCCACCTGCGGGTCCCCCTCCTGCTCCCCAGTGTCCTGTACACAGCCCTCAGTAGTCTCCAGAGTGAATAGCCTTTTCCTTGCCATCATTAGTCTCCTGAGTGAACAGCCTTGTTCTAACCCTCAGGAGTCTCCAGGGTGAACAGTCCCGCCATAACCATCAGTAGTCTCCAGAGTGAACGGTGCCACCATGACCACAGAAATGCTGAGAGAGGACCTGTGTGTCCTCCTCCTGCTCCCCAGTGTCTTGTGCACAGCCCTCAGTAGTCTCCAGAGTGAACAGCCTTGCCATCGCTGTGACCAGGGTGACCAGCCTTGCCATAACCATTAGTAGGCTCCAGAGTGAACAGTGCCACCATGGCCACAGAAACGCTGAGGGGACCTGTGTGTCCCCCTCCTGCTCCCCAGTGTCCTGTGTAGAACCCTCAGTAGTCTCCAGAGTGAACAGCCTTGCCCTTGCCATCAGTAGTCTCCAGAGTGAACGGTGCCACCATAGCCACAAAAATGCTTAGAGAGGACCTGTGTGTCCCCCTCCTGCTCCCCAGTGTCCTGTGCACAGCCCTCGGTAGTCTCCAGAGTGAACAGTGCCACCTGCGGGTCCCCCTCTTGCTCCCAGTGTCCTGTCCTCAGTAGTCTCCAGAGTGAACAGTGCCACTGTAGCCACAGAAACAGCAAGAGACAACCTGTGTGTCCCCCTCCTGCTCCCCAGTGTCCTGTGCACAGTGCTCAGTAGACACCAGAGTGAACAGCCTTGCCGTCGCTGTCAATAGTGACCAGGGTGAACAGTCTTGTCCTTGCCATCAGTAGTCTCCAGAGTGAACGGTGCCACCATGACCACAGAAATGCTGAGAGAGGACCTGTGTGTCCTCCTCCTGCTCCCCAGTGTCCTGTACACAGCCCTCAGTAGTCTCCAGAGTGAACAGCCTTGCCATCGCTGTGACCAGGGTGACCAGCCTTGCCATAACCATCAGTGGTCTCCAGAGTGAACAGTGCCACTGTAGCCACAGAAACAGCAAGAGACAACCTGTGTGTCCCCCTCCTGCTCCCCAGTGTCCTGTGCACAGTGCTCAGTAGACACCAGAGTGAACAGCCTTGCCGTCGCTGTCAATAGTGACCAGGGTGAACAGTCTTGTCCTTGCCATCAGTAGTCTCCAGAGTGAACGGTGCCACCATGACCACAGAAATGCTGAGAGAGGACCTGTGTGTCCTCCTCCTGCTCCCCAGTGTCTTGTTCACAGCCCTC